TAAGGTTTTTACCACATTCTGTAAAGATAAAATTCTAATATACTGCATTACATTTTGATGAAAGTGCATACATTCTTCTTGAGTATGCTAAGGGTCAGAGCTTGCTAAAACTGTTTGTAAAAATATCATCTGCCATTCATACTCAAAGCCTATAGTGTTTGTTCTTTAGAAAAACAGTCAAGTGTAATTTATACATTTACAGGCTAACTCTAAATTAAACATCTATTCTAATCAACATCACTGAGGCATAAATATTAATATTTCTGGGTTTGATATTGAAAATTAAAATCTTTGAGTAGTTTAATTCATGAAAGGAAGCAAAAGAATGACTTGTATTTCCTCTTTAGAAAGAATTTGAGATTTTCAAATGTTCTGCAAAAGAAGTTTACAAACAATTAGAGGAAGATATAGATCTGTTTTGTGTTGTACTGGCATGGGACCAATTCTATACTGATGTTCACAAAAGCTTTGGCGCTTATAAATGAAAGTTAGGATATAAAAGAGAACAAAAACAACAAAAACAAACAACCAAAAAAAATAAAAAATAAAAACCCCACACACCAAAACCCAGAGAATCTTTTCTTGCTAATGCTTAAATTCATTCCTGGACATGTTTTTCTCTTGAGAGGAAGGATTGCCCAATGGTTAGTGTGCTATCCTGGCATGCCAGAGATGTAAATTCAATTTCCTGCTCCATGACAAACATCCTTTGTGATTGGGCAAGTCACTTAACTTCTTTTTGCATTAGTCTCCAGGCTATAAAATGGGGAAAATGGCATTTCTCTAATTAACAGGAGTATGGAGATCTCAGCTCTTATGGTAAAGGGGCACATGTACATACCAAAGATAGATATATGTGTAATATAGGGTGCATTCTAAGCTAACATGACGATTGGTTGATGACAGAGAGCATAAAGGCTGAGTTTGGATGGGCTGAATTCTTGGCATTTGGCTATTAGGGTATGTGTAAACTACATGGCTCCATCAATGGAGCCATGTAGATTAGGCTGATCGGCAAAGGGAAATGAAGCCGCGATTTAAATAATCGCGGCTTCATTTAAATTTAAATGGCTGCCACGCTGAGCCGACAAACAGCTGATCAGCTGTTTGTTGGCTCAGCGCGCTAGTCTGGAAGCTCCCCTGCCGACATGAAAGCCCTTTATCGACCTCCATGGTAAACCTTATCCTACGAGGCATAACGGGGAGGTCGATAAAGGGCTTTCAGGTCGGCGTGGGAGCGTCCAGACTACCGCGCTGAGCCGACAAACAGTGTAACCTGCCACCTGGTGGATTTGAACCTAAGACCTCTGAAGCTTAATATAGAAGCTTCTACAGCTTGAGCTACAAAATTAGCTTGAGCTAGGCCTAGCTTGTGGAGATCTCTTGATCTTATCTGTTGCTGTGGTCTCGTTGCCACTGCATGGGACAGGGAACCACAGTAAGTGTGTGGGTTACAATGGTATGTCTTTTGTTTTTACTTTTAAAAAATCAATATGATTTTAATTCCAATAATATAATCCACAAACTCATCAAAATTTAACCACAATAATCATTTTTATAAGTATTCATGTGTTGTGGATGTTTTACAATTAAGATGAAAACTTCAAGGTATAGTTATATCATCATCTGTACTTTAATTTTTTAACTCTGGATAATATTATGAATACAGGCAGTCCCCGGGTTACGTACAAGATAGGGACTATAGGTTTGTTCTTAAGTTGAATTTGTATGTAAGTCGGAACTGGCTCCAGATTCAGCTGCTGCTGCTGAAACTGACCAGGGGCTGACTACAGGAATCTGGAGACAGAATTGCTCTGCCCCCAGCTTCCTGGAATCAGCCACTGATCAGTTTCAACAGTGGCTGAATCTCGAGCCTGGGACAGAACAGCTGGGCTGCCAGGTAGGTCCCTGCAGGACCAACCCGGCAGCACCCCAGCTGCTCTACCCCAGGGTCCACAACAAAAGCCTGGTCTGCTGGGGGAGGGGCACACTAGCTGCGCCCCCCCCCCCCCCCCCAGGGACACGGGGAGCAGAGCCGCAGCGGCAGCGGGGCGCACCGCCCGGTGTCCCTGGGCTGCTGGAGCCGGCCCCCAGCAGACCAGAGGCACCGGGAGCAAAGCTGCAGCGGCGGCGGGGTCCTGCGCCTCCCCGGCTTTGCCACAGCAAAGCCTCAGAGGCACAGGACCCCTCCGCCTCCCCGTCTTTGCTCCGGGTGTCCCTGGTGTGCTGGGGACCGTCTCCAGCAGACCAGGGACACCCGGAGCAGCTTTTCTCGCCCCGGAGGTTGAGGTGGCGGGACCGCTGCGCTCTGGGCGGTCCCACTGCCTGCGAGCTCCGGGGCGAGAAAGCCCCGTTCGTAAGTGCGGATCCGACATAAGTCGGATCCGCGTAACTCGGGGACTGCCTGTACGTTTAGGAACTCTAGGCCCCTATTATACAAATAACTTAACTTTCTATTTACACATACGAGGAATTTAACAACAACAAGGGTACTCTTCTCCTGAGCGAGTCTTATTACATTTTTAAATATGCTGATTTTACACTGTATACTTTTCAGGACAGGGACTTCCTATGTGTTTGACACTACTCCAAATTAAATAATAGCATTAATAAGGACAATCAACTATTTTGTAGGCAATGAAGAACATGTTCTACAGAAGTAGCCTAGATATTTGACACATCTCTAACCATGGCAGCTCTACTGTCACAACTGTTCTCATAACTAGTTAACCTCCAATTTCACCAGACAGTCTATGCCTGACATTTAATTAGTGACCCAATTATATCTTTTGCTGTTCTCAGCTTATTTTATCATTTAGGAGCAAAAGATCTCAAACTGGGCTTCAATGAGGAAGAAATTACAACACCCATTATCAGCTCTTAGAATTGTCTCTTTGTAGCGGTAATGAGAAAAGGACTTTGACTGTTCCCTAAAATTAGGAGGAGCAGCTTAGAGGCTAGGAAATTATTTCTGGGGGTCTTTTTAGTTAGTTTGATGGGAATGAGGCAATTACAGAAAAAGAGGTACCAATGCTGGTTACAGTGATGTTAGCAATATTAATATATGACTTGTCCTCCAAAGTGGGATAAAGTATGGTGACAAGGACAAGAAGCTTCTATGAATGGATAACGAGTAGCAATGTCATGACCCATACAGATATTTCGTTCCCTTTCTTTATAGTTTGTCTCCACCCTAAATATATTTTACTTAGCTATCCTTCTGAGGGTTTCTATAGCATCTGAAGTACGATGTCTTCATGTAATACAACAATTACAGATAGTACAGAATCTATCTTAAATGTCAATATTCTTACAGCTTTCCTTATTCCTAGCCTGCTTCTTTAAGAAAGGACTCTATCCAATCTTCTTCCTTTTTTAATCCCCTTCTTCCGCTGCTCCAATCTTCCCAGAAGTGGGCTGTTTCTGAAAGATGCTGTTTCGGAGGGAAGGTTTTACCAGACAGGTGGTCCAGTCTACTTAAAGAATCCCTGTGATAGTTTTGGGACTCAAACAATGTGAACCTGTGAATTCCACGTTGATTGTATGAACTCTCTGATTGTAACCTTCAGTATGTCTTTCACCATTAGTAATACAATGGATTGAATGAGGACTCTTCCATTAGACCAATGCTTTTTAAACTGTGTTCCACGGCACGAGGCAGTTGGAAGTGAGCCACGGAGAACAACAGAATTAAAAATGGTGGCCCTTAAAGGGGCGGGCAACCTTTTTTTCCCCCTCAATAACTTTCCCAACCCTTTTTTTCTCTCAATAACTTTCCCTCCAAACCTTCTCCTCCCCCCCCCCCGACCTTTTTTTTCCCCTCAACAAAAAATCCTTGGTGTTCCTTATAAAAAAAATTGTTTGGTGTTCCTCGGTCTTAAAAAGTTTAAGAAAACTGCATTAGACCCAATGCAGCAGCGTGGTATGTGCCCAGAAGAGAGAACTCAGCCAGAGCTATCACTATCCTTATGAAGCATAGCTGTCTTGGAGGGTTTGAATAGATAGGTGGTCTCTGAGATGGCTGAGATCCAACCCATTTAGGTCTTGTAGGAACAGGGGCCTGATAAATGATCCTCGTGGCCTTTTTGCCAGCATAAAGGGGCCACATATTCCCAGAGAATACTCCAGAGCAGAAGGGTCACTGTTGCAGTGCTGTGCCTCCTTGCCAATGATCTTTGGTGAATGTTCCAAAAGGTCGGGGAACAATCAAGGCTCTTTGTCTGGGGTAGTCCTTGTTTTATAAAACTAAACAGAAACAGGTACTGTATTTGGTCCAGCAGCGCTTCAGAGCCATTGATGTTAAAAATGCACACTCCTTCTAGAATTAGCTCATTCTTCAGGGCTGAGCTTGACATATTTGTGTCATAACTAGTGTTCCCTCTATTTTTTCTATCCCTGCGCAGTATACATTTTGTTATGTGCACCAAGATATGTGAGAATATGTACCATGCTGCCAGTTGTGGGAACTGTAGGCACTCTGCTTATCAGCTGGGCAGCACCTGAATCTCTTCTGGGTGGCCTCCCAAGCACTCATCTTATAGGGAATACTGGTCATAACCCAGGGTTAATTCTGATCCTGCACAGTGTAGACCCTGGGGAGGAAAGTAAATGCTATTGGAGTTTCACAACTAACTATAACCACTAACTGCCACCTTTGCCAGGACATTGTCCTGAAAGAGTAGATTGGAAAAATGGAAGGTAATCTGCAAAGTTCTCTATGTCAGATATGGCTGAACTACTGCATTCTTCTGAGTAGCTAGTACAGAGCCATCTTTGAATGCGGTATTCATTATGTCAGCTGGAACCAGTTGTTCTAAACTTGCCTTGACTAGCCAGGAGTGAACAGATCTGACATAGCTCACAGGTGGTGGGTAAGATAGCACTTTGAACTTAAATTTGAACTACATGCTCAAAGTCCTCAACGGCAGCTGGAGAATGTCATGTTTGCTTCCCCCATTCTCAGCCATGTGGTTCTCAGATTCTCTCCAAGACTGTCTCTGATTTTGATAATCTTTAGGAGTGCATTAAGCCAAGAACTCTTTGAATCCACATAGCTGCAAAGTCAAGGTTAGATGGAGGCATCCTATTTACATGTTTACTATTTATCTAGCAATTAGAGGTTTCTTTTAATCAATTAAGGAACTATTTAGGTCACAGCTAGGAGGGGCAGCAATTAAAATTTGTGCTAAGGATATGTTATTAAAAGGTGTCACTAGTGCCTTTTTTCTTTTACATATCTTTCTTTGAAATCAGTTTGATGAAAGTGATCAAACGCATTCTATAATTTCCTCCTTTCCAAAACAAAAGAAATTATTAAGATGAGACAACTACAGAGAAAGCTCGCAGCATGTTGTGAACAATGTAGTCACTACATTATAATGATCAATGCACGACAAGTTAATAGACAAAATTTAGAGATCACATATGTAAAAGACAAGTCATCATTAACCCCTGTGTTGCTGGTAACTATAGTCTATTGCTGTCCCATGTAAAATCTGTGAAATATCACTATTCATATTGTACTCTTGAGGGCAGAAAAGGAATTAATGAACATCTGGACTTACCACTTTTAAAGATCATAAACATACTCAAAATACATTATCTAGGGACTGACTCGGTATGTCTGATCTATTGTGATGTAAACTACAGGAACTGTAATTTAATAGTTTGAGGGGGAAATGTTTCCAGCTATAACATGTAACAATTCTATAATAATTGATTAAATAATAATAGTAGATTAAATATAATCTTGTAAGTGGTCTTCACAAAGGGAAAGGAGGCTAACCCGCATTGTTAAATACAAGAATTAGACCACCATAGTGGAACTAAAAGTTCATCATAAATTCACACCAAAACAGGCATTTCATTTAATATCAGTGTTTTGACCACAAGACTTTCTTCAAATAATGAGCTCTGTTGTCTAGTTTTGAAGAACAATACGGTCCAGGGTAACTACACATCATCCCTGGTAACTTCCTGATTGGAGGGATGATTTTATTACCTTAATTTTCTATTCCCAGAATAATCCATTTAGTTCACATGCACGGGATAGTTTTTACTAGGGTCAATCTGATAGAGGAAACTGACCTGTTTACAGGTAAATTCATCAGAACCACAAAAAAATTCTAGATTTATCAGAGCAGCTAGGAATCAATCATTTAAATAAGCTGTAGAAGAAGAGAAAGGGCTCTCTTTAATCTGCATTCTGAAGAATTTGCCCACCTTGCACACACAGTGTTGCAGCTCTCCAGAGCCACAGCACAGTGGAATTATAGCTGTCAAAAACTTTCACGTGGCTAACTATGGTGCCTTTCTCTTTTTTTTAGAGTTTCAATGAATGATGGTCACAATATCACTGGTGAAAACTTGGTCACACATTTAGGTCTCTGAACTGATGCTAGTGAGTAGTGTTTGAAGTACAATTTCACAACACCCATGACAAAGGTTTGAAGGTGGGTGAAAATTCTTCTCAATCTGAACAGGTCTTGGAGATAGAAATGAGTTGGCCCTTCATCTTAAGAGCCAGTTTTTTGAGGCACATGGTCCCTCCAAGGGACTAGGACACTACACAAAAACCACATACTTTTGTGAGTCAGATGAGTACTGAGTAAATACTTGGTCAGAACACTATTGTATCTTCCAGCAATATGCTTGAGAGAGAGAGAGAGAGAGAAACTATTTGGGACCGCGTCCAAGATGTACCATTGCTTCAAGGAGCATCTGTTCACAGACAGTAAATTTACATTTTGTACTTGTGACATGCTGTACTTTACTAATGGAATTATTTTCACCCTTTTAAAAAAATATCCCAGGGCATGGCAAATAAACAGCCAAATTAATTGAATCTTTAAGTGAATGAATTATTTTTTTTATCGGAATGCTCAGATATTAGCTTTATTGGTTGGGTAGAAGAACAATGGCTCCAGGGGGCCATCTGTGATGTTGAGGAAGAGAATAAAATGCAGCAGAAACCCCCCCCCCTTTATTATTATTTGGGTTCATCATAAAACAGAGACTTGCCAAGAGTCCACTAGATTCTCAAGTAGTCTTTCAGTGATAGCAATCACACACATTCCCCAAGACCCTTTTTAATTACTGTGACGGGATGGGTGGCTTCCACCCCGCAGAGGCAGACCCGCCCCACACTGACCCCACGGTCGTGCTCGCGCTCCTGGGGGCAGCCCGGGCAGCAGGGGTGGGCCTCTCAGCTGAGAGGTGGGGGAGGGGCCAGAATGGAGCACCAGTCGGCATGCCGAGGCCGGGTGGAGCTACACGCCGGCCGCGACGTACGCGGCAGGTGACATCACGCTGGGAGGACGCCGGCGCGGCATTCAAACCCGGAGGGCAGCCCGCCAGTGAGGAGGTAGGAGGGAGGACGCCCAGAGGAAGGAGGACGCCCAAGAGAAAGAGGTAGGAGGGAGGATGCCCGGGGGAAGGAGGACGCCCGGGAGAAAGAGGTAGGAGGGAGGACGCTCGGGGGAAGGAGGACACCCGAGAGAAGGAGGCAGGAGTGGGACACCCGGGAGGAAGGACGCCCAGGAGAGGAAACACCCGGGAAGGGAGTCACACGGCGGGAACCGGTCCCACAGGGACGGCAGTAGGACCAGAGAAAGACTGTGGGGTAGGAAGTAGCCCAGGGCGGGGCTTGGAGCCGGTGAGTTACAGGCATTAGCCCTGCCATCTGGGCAGGTTCCAGCAAACCTGTCCCTACGGCCCTGGGCTGGGGCCCATGAGAGAGGGCGGGCCCGGGCTCCTTTACCCCCATGTCCTGGCAATAATGGTCGAACCAAGCATCAGACGACGGGGGAGAGCCAACGAAGGGTACTTAGGACCTACCCCGGGTGGGGGAACATGAGTGGAGGCAGCTAAGTGCGTGCTTGACTGGGTAGGGCTAGCGCCCCACTCGTACAGTTACTGATAGTTACGTAGGTTCATCAAGTGGTTATATTCTAACTTAGCAGGTTAGAATGAAGGAAGCAAATAATCTACATCTTAGTTCGCATATCTGAAAGGGAATACTGCTGAAATCCATTACATTGCTTCAGTCCAATGGCAGTCAAGAGATTCGTTCTGGTCTCTTTCATGTGGGGTGAGAGGACCATCAATTCTGGAGTCAGCTGTTAGGCTACGATTTCTAGGAATGAGTTAGTGAACTCTGCCTTTATCTCACTCACACAAAACTTTCCAGGAACACAAACTATTTGGCAGTTTTGCTAATGTAGTATTTATATATTACACTTTGCTGTCCTATGTTTTATGATTTTCCCCTATTAAAGAATACTAATCAATGCTACAATTCCATTTACAATTTTATTTAACTGTACCATATTTAATGCTATAGCCTCACACAACATTCTGCAAAACCATGCAGTGGGGGGAGGAGGGGTGGGAGAGGGGGCGGAATAAAGCTGTTTTAGGCCCATTAGGTAGCCAGATAAAAGATCATTTGAATCAAAGCTTAGAGTATGGGAGGAAGTTTATTGCAAGACCAGAGCAACGCACTGCATTAGTCCAAGGACAACTGTACCATGTGCTGCATACTTGCATTTGTCAGGGCCTCCGTCTTTGACATTTGTGTGAAAGATAATCCCATTAATGGCTGTATCATAACACAGATTGTACCTTTCAATATCCTTTCTCTTTGCTGCTTCTTTAAGCCGTCCGTTCCCCTTCACTCACTCCAGCTTTTACTTCTTTCCATTATATATTTTTTGTCTCTTCCTCCATTTTCCAGCATCATTCTTTCCCTCCCTTCTCTTTGTGTCTCCTCTAATTGCTCTGAACATAGGGAAATCAGTCTGTACTTACATGCTTCTGGGTGTTAGCTCAGGCCATGTGTACACTTACCTCATGAGGTTATTATATTCAAACAGATCCACCAGGGTACACGAGATGGTTGTTTATATGGTTTGGACTACTAAGGCCATGTCTCCACTTGCCATGCCAGAGATCGATCTTCTGGCATTCACTTTAGCAGGTCTAGTAAGGACTTTCTAAATCGAATACTGAGGGCATCCCAGTTAGTGCCAGCCCTCCTGGATTTGTGAGGAGGAAGGGAAGTCGATGGGAGAATTTGCTCCCATCAACCTCCTACTGTGGGGACAGCACCCAGCTCAGCTTGATATATCAACTCCAGCTACTTTATTTACATAGCTGGATTTGTGCACTTTAATCCATCTTCTGGGTCTAGTCTAACCTGGCTTCAGTTAGAGAGGTCTTTCACAGAGGTGGCTGCAGAGCCTAAGCCACCATTGCCCAATCTGTGGTAACCCCCTGCTTTGCTGGGTTATTATGGCCTATTCCATCACCCCCTCAAGTCTACTGGAGAGATCAGTAGACTGTGGATTCAGTAGATTTTTACGGAATGACCTACAACTGTGCATTTTTACTGTAGATTATGCAAAGAACAAGAGTAATTTAGGCCCAGATCTTCAATTATATTTAGATACCAAATTTCAGTAGATTCATTGGGAATTCAATACTTAAATACCATTGAGGACCTTAGCTTTAGTGTTGCCAATGATTTCACAGACTATAATAATAGGGACATAAATGGAAATTTGCAACTTTGTTTACTTAACAGCAGCCTTTTCCATAAACTCCCTTGACCAGTGCTCAGTTCCTTTTTATGGGTATCAGCTTAATCTCTGAAACAGAAGCACTCTGTTTTGGGAAAGCATGAGAAGAATCCCTACAAAAATTAAGTTCTGACTCACTTTAGGTTGATTCAGCAAAGAGGGAGTTTTCATCCATCCCAGTATAGGAACACTTCAAAGAAAAGTTCTCCCTACGCAGTTCAGAGATTGAACAGTGTTTTAATTTCAGATAAAAGCTTTAAATGGTCTGCAGATTTGTTCTAAAAATCTTCTAAAGGGAGAAAAAAATTTATCTTTCTCAGATGATTTGTTTTCATTTCATTCCACAATAATGAGAAGCAAATTTAATCTGTGCATGAAATTAAGCTTGCCTGACAAAGCAGTAAAATGGAAATACTTAATCGTCTTTTAAAACGTTTCTTTTCCTGTTTGTCTCATTTTTTGTATATGCCTCAAATATATTTCAAATGTATCTCAAGATCTGCAATAAATTACTGACTTTTCAAATGCAGAATTATTTCAAGAAAAATACTAGAATTTTACAAAACATCAAGGTGCTCACTATTTACAACTTATAGATCGGGCTTCTGATTTTTGTTTTTCACAGATAAATCGGAGAAGACACCCCAGAGCCAACATAACCAGTAAAACAGTGGAAATGGTTACTTGTACCTATGGGTTTGTCCACACAGAGAAGAAATGGAGACTACAGGGAGTGATTTCTCAAGCATTGACTGGTCTAGGTAGACCTGGATGGTGCAAACTAAACATTTCCTACTGCACTTTAAAACAATATTACACTGAAGTGCTATAGGGGATGTTATAAAGAGTGTGCTCATTATATTATACATGACTCAGTATATTACAGGGGTGGGCAATAATTTTTGCTGGGGAGAGAGGGCACTTCAATCTGGTAGTGGCTGCTGGCAGGCCCAATCCCCAGAAAGAGGCCTCGGGTGGAACGGGTCTCAGGCAGAAGGGGTGGTTCCCTCTAGGCATCCTGTGCCCCTGGCAGGGGGGAGGAGACATCTTATACTCCCCAGCACCCCAGGCCAATCGGGACCTGGGAGCAGGGGTGTGCACGAAGTCATTCACCATTCAAAATGGCAGGTAGTCCCTCTAAATGTGGCATGCCCTGGCTGAGGACAAGGGAGCCCTCCAGTCGCTTTGAACAATGAATGACTTTGCACACTCCCATGCCCCTGGGTCTTGATTGGCATGGAAGCGGGAGCTCAGCAGGGCTGGCCATGGGCCAGATCAAATGGCTTGGCGGGGGCCGTATCTTGCTCACCCCTGTTATAGAATGCACAAAGACACAGCCTTGAAAAAAAACAATTTTGGGTCCTCTACATAAAAGGCAAAAAAATACTAAAAAATAAACCCAGAAAATAAAATTAATAAATCTCAAAACAAAACCCCCCCCCCCCCCACAAAAAAAAAAAATACTTTCATATTCATCTATATTATTTTTCTTTTAATATCTAGGCACAAAAATAGGCCTCCTTTTCTATGGACCCCAGGGCTAACTGGTTATCCAAACAAAGTTGGATTAAGTGTTCATCATTAAAACTTTGAAAATCATTTGAGTCATAGACAATTTTGCCCATAGAAAGAACCATGGAATCTATTATTTAATTCTTACTAATGTATCTACATTAAATCAAGATCTTTCTTTGTTAGAAATCTATTTACTCCTGGATGCTAAACTCATAAACCTGGGTGATAGCTAAATAGAAGGGAGGGGAATGATTATGAACTCACAAATAAAAGATTCTGAAAAGAACCTGTGGAACTCCTTGCCAGAGGATGTTGTGAAGACTAAGTCTTTAATAGGGTTCAAAAAAGAGCTAAATTGATTCATGGAGGTTAGGTCCATCAATGGCTATTAGCCAGGATGGGTAGGAATGTTGTCTTTGTTTGTGTGGAAATGGGTAACAGGAGAGGGATCACATGATGATTACCTGTTGTGTTCCCTCCCTCTGGGGCATCTGGTATTGGCCACTGTCAGCAGACAGGATACTGGGCTAGATGGACCTTTGGTCTGAGCCAGTATGGCCATTCTTATATTCTTATGACAACTTCAAAGTGAGAATAAATGCAAGCTCCAAAGAGCTTGTAGGAAACATAAGCCTTTGTTTTCACGCATATGGTAAAAATGAGAAAAGATAGGAAAATTCATGAAGATTCTAACAAATATTTTTCAAAGTTTTCCAAGAAAAGAGTCGGCATCAAAGGGTCTTTTAGGGTCAATATCGCCACCTGTGTATATATGTTTTGTGATTAATATGGAGAACAGGCACACAAGATAAAGGGGGAGGAGAAATTAACCTTATCAAGAAAACCTTGAAGGGTTTCCATTCAAAGCATAACTTCTAGACATATTCCTTTAAAGAACAGAGAGAAAGTAGTATACCCCTTCAATTTAGAAGGCCTCCAAACACCACATGTTAGTATTATTTTAAATGTTTGATGTATGAATTGTCAGATGTCACAATCAATACATATCTTCTTTTTTAATCAATAACATATTAGCAAAATTTAATCTTTTGCATTCTTCTAGAAAAGAACCTGAAACTATGACCATATTACATAGTGACACTAATATAAACCAGTTCCTTCTGATCCCACCAAAAGTCTTGACAAATACACACTGAGCCTTTGTCTACACTATGAGTTTTGCCGCAAGATGCAATGCAAATGAAGCGTGGAGTAGCATTTTCTCGCTCTTCATTTGCATAATCTCTTTCGGTCCATTTTTGTGCAAGGGGTTTTTGTGCAAAAACAAGCCGTGTGGACGATTCCTTTTTGTACAAAAACCCCTTTTTGTGCAAGATCCTATGCCTCCCTTGTGCAAAAACGGACCGAAAGAGACTATGCAAATGAAGCCCGAGAAAATGCTAATCCTCACTTCATTTGCATTGCCTCTTTCGGCAAAACTCATAATGTAACCGTCGCCAGAGAATGTGATGTTCCAGTCTATCCAAAAATATATACTCTAATGCAGGGATGGACAAAATATGGCACACAGGCTGGATCTGGCCTACCCAACACTTCTGTCTGGCCCACTCAGCTGATTAGCAGAATGTGCCAGCAGTATATGTTCAGCTATACATCCCCTTGCCTTGCTTTGTCATGCATTTGAGCTGCTCCCAGGACCCTCCTACTAGCCGTGCAGGGGAGAGGAAAGGGAGAAGAGAGGGGAGTGCTGAAAAAGTGGGCCCTCAGTCCCTCTACCCCATCTATGCAGAGCGGGGGTCAGAGAGGAACACACATACACAACAGGGCTGCTCCAATCTGAATTACGGTTAGTAACTGAGATGAGTGCTTGCCTTAAGAAGCTGTGCACTGTTGCTAAGATTTCTCCAGCAGCCATCTCTTACACACATACACACACAGTCTGTGCCATATATACTGTCTCTCTCTTTGTGTCTGTCTAATGGGCCGCTCCATTTGTTTATTTAAAGGCTCCACAGCCACGGAGCCTCGTAGCTCCCATTGGCTGCAGTTTGCTGTTTGCAGCCAACGGGAGCTGTGGGAAGCACTGCTCTAAAGCCTCTGGCCCTGCCCCTTCTAGCATCCCGGAGTTGACCCCTATGACTTTCCAAAATGTGTAGAGTGGCCCCTCTGAGAAAATTATTGCCCATCTCTGATCTAATGTTTCCCCTATTTTTGAAAGTAGCTAGTGAAAGAATTGCTCCATTTATCCAAGCAAAGATGCTGGTAAAAACCTTGATAGAATGTGCAGATACTCATTAAACAAAGAAAGTAGCTCAGAGGCAAATGCACATAACTTCCTCCCTGGAGAACATGCAGCAGATGATCAAAGACAAGCGAGCAAAAATAAAACTGGCTAATATGACAGTCAAGCCTGAATGGATTTGCAGAGATAAGAAATGGTATTCAGTGTTCTGGCAAGTGCATTGTTGTCAAACATTCAGAGTTTTCCATTTACTGAGAATTGTTTTCCCCCCATTTCAGCAATTAGCATATCACAAGATGAATTCTGCAGCTTTTGCTTTTTTGCTAATCAGAAGCACATGTTTCACTGTCTTCTGGTGAAGGGTATCAAATAAGATTGAAACAAAAAAAAAATCCTCTCCCTCCCACAACACATATACACACTCACTTGAAAAGTATTTACCATTTGCATGGCTTTCAAATATAGAAAAAACACTGATGATGGAAACAGAAAATGCATGACTGAGAGCTGTGGAATATGAAAGCCAATGGATACCCAAGTTATATCAAGACAGTAACTTACAAGAAAACTAAAATAGACTTTCCATGTTTTTATTCCCAATATATTTACACACTATTTATACCCATGACTAGGGAAACAAATGGTAAGGAAGGAAGAAATAACTGCAGTGCAAAAAAGCAGACTAATTCCCTGCTCCTGGGCTGAAGAAGAATTGGTAGAATGAAAGTTGTCCCAGGAGAGCAATAAATCATGGCTCCATGATACCACTGGAAGTATAAAACTGGGTAAACTATTAGAAACTACAAACTCAAATACCACTTGGGGACAAATTATGACAAAAAGAAAAGATAGGCCACTGTGTTATGAAAATATTATATTACTTTAATGTTTATATGACCTTAGTGATTTCAAAAGAAATGTTTTGTGCATAAAAAGAAATAATAATAATAATGATAATAAAAAATCCTACTACTTCACAGTACCTCACTTCTGTAGAAATATGGGTTCTTTTCCCATAACACTTGATGCACACATCTGCTAGAGATAAAAGGAAGCTACAGACTTCATTTTAGGGAGAAAATCAATATTAAAATCTATCTCTCTCACATGCACAATGCAGATAGCAAACAAAACTGTAGATAATCTTCCCATCGTCAAATGAGTACCCTGGTGAAATTTAAAAGATTACAGGCTTCTTTTTGAAAATACAGTCTTTAAAACACAACATTATGAAAAGTTCATAATTTTTACTGCCTGGAAAATATGGGGTCTTTTCTAACAACAATATTATGATGTCATATAATGGACAGAATTCTATGGATGAGATTTTTCAATTAAAATAATGGGAATCGTGCATTCAAATCCTAAAGATATTTCAATATCTCATCCTATATGTTGTATTGGAGTGTTTTGATCTTTTTACATAAAAAATATTAATGTATGCAAAAACCCATTGATGGCCCAGGTTATTAGAGAGATGAAGAAGGTACAGTCTTTTCTTTGGACCAACTTCTAACATCTTTGATTGTACCATCTTTTGAAGTTGTTCCATTACATATCTTAGCTCACTCACTTTTGCAATAATTTGGCATTTCCACCCACATTTCTTAGTAACAAAACAGAAGCAATTACATACTATGGACTAAATATTGCCCTGACTTAAGATGCACAGGTATCTTCAGGGTAAAAATGTGACCAAAAATGTTACATTTCCATCAATGGGTTCCGTTTTTTTCCTAACAAAAGCAAAGTCAAATGCCAGTTAGTTATAGTGCCCAAATGTAATTACAGCACAAGATTCTCAACTGCTGTAGAGGGGCGTCGTACCATGGAAGTCAACGGAGTTTTGTCAGTTTACACCCACTGAGAATCTGGCCCAGAACTTTTCTTTACATACCACTGCAGAATAAACAATTTTCTTCTTATAGATGGTTTTAAAAAGAGTTTCATAGAGGGTAGATCAAAGTGCACCATGGAACTTTTAATGCACAGCAAAAGGGTCCACACAGTTAATGAACGGTAGGCGAGTGAAAAGTAGATTTATACCTTAGCTTGCTGCCCACTAGCTGTTCATATAGACAAGCCCTACATCTCGTTTCACAGTCTAATGCTTGTAACGTTTTCCTTCACTTATTTGTATCTCAGAACTACATTAACATGAATTAGGTAATGGTCAAAAGGGGACCTGTGCATTGTCTTATCAGAAGTACTGACCAGACACCAAAAGTCCAGTTACTGCCCAGTGGGATGCCAGAACTAGGCAGGCACTGCCCATCAAAGCATATGTGACAGGGCACTTGCAGAGGATTGGGGGAAGTTTGGCTCTCAGCCATTTGGGTGCCCATCCATGCCATGGGACTGTGTTTGGATTGCATCCTATTTTCCACCCTATTCTCTGCTCCCCATCTCTGCCCGCTGCAGAAGCTACTCAATGGGGTACAAGGCATGCATGACTGGCACCAAAGCTACAGTCTGAGGGTATGGCTGGACTACAAGTTTTTGTCGGAAAAGGGTATGCAAAATGCACCCCACATTTTGCGTACCTTTTTCCGATTCTTTTGTTGGAAGAGGCTTTTTGTCTGGACTGGGCCGAATGTTGGAAAATCCTCCTCTTTTGGAAGCCCCCTTCTTCTCCGTAGAATGAGGAATACAGGGCTTCCGAAAGAATACGCCCACTTCTTCGGAAACTGATACCCTGGACGCGGCAGAGTTTTTTCGGGATGCCTCCGGTATCCCGAAACCCCCTCGCAGACTAGCGGTACCCTTAGCGAGGAGTCCCATACAGGGCAGCCTCTTTTCTCCAGAGCAGAGGTGACTTCAATGCACAATTCTTTCCCAGGAATATTGTTTAATAATAATTATAAAAGCATGCAAATGAAGCTGAATCTAGGTTATAAGAACACAACCTTGAAATCCATAGCTTGAATGGAATTAATAAGAACCTTGGTT